TTAGTAATTTAAAATATAACTACTGTGGGATATTGTGATATTGTAGGAATATCTGTGAGGAAAATTTCAGCATTTTGTTTCATTTCTTTGATAAGAATAAATTTGGTTGACCTTTTATCGGATTTGTGCATTCAATCTCTTACGAACCCGTTATAATGATATGAATATCAATATAACCAATCTGTAATTCAAGGAAATTCATTTGTTCTAATTTTTGAGAATAGCAACAGAGAACTTGTTTGTTTACAGCAAAATGTTGTCTTGCAGAGGAAAACATATGCGCGTTCTTGGGCTAAGCAAAACAGTTCAGAGAAGATTTCGACATGAATTTAAAAATCACCATCAGCGGAACAATTAATTAAAAGATGGTAAACAGTTTCGAGAGGCCGGAATATGTTTTGCGTAAACGAGGTGCAGGTAGGCTAAGCGTCACTCATAAAAATGTTTCCGCATTCAAGATGTATTTGTGCGAAGTCCCAGTAAATCCATTCGCCATGCCAACTGTAAACAAGAATTCCCAGGTCGATTGTTCATAAAGTTATTCACGAACGGTTGAAACTGAAAATATATAATATAATAATTCTTGTAAATCGTAGATTTTTCAATAAATAAAACCTATTGATAGAGTCATTCGTCACAGCATCGAAGAATTCAAAAAGTGGAATCACCATAGAAACCGCTACTCTAACTTCGCAAGTGCTTAATGACGTCTGGAGAGAAATCGAGAACATAATATTCTCCGAACAACTAATGGTGCTGAAGTTGAAATGCATTAATATAAAATCCTTTTAAGTGTTAAATAAAATTCAGACAATATTTTCCCCTATCTCTTATTCTGTATTATTTAAAATTATCCATTCAATAAATTATGGTTTGGTTTGGTTTGGTTTATTTAATTACGGCAAAGCACACTAGGGCTACCTGCCTAAGGGATGCCTTCGTTGAGGACTTTCTAAGTAAAACTGGCTCGTATACACGTTACACATGGGGAAAACCACGAAAACGCCATGCAGCCAGCCCGTTCGCGAGGTCAATAAATTATGGACAACATATATTACAAAAGTTCCAAATTTATCATCCAGTTATTTTTAATTTTTACACCCTGTACTCCCTCGAATGCATAAATTTAATTCTTTTATTTTAAATAATTTATAAAATTATTTAAAATAAAAGAATTCGAAACATTTCAAAAGAATACGTAAATTAGTTGTCGAGAAGAAGTTAGAATAGATATAAGTAGAGCTTTCTAACTGTAACTGAGAGTTATTTATATTCTTAATTTCATCTGCCCTACAAATTTCCGAGTTTTCAGCGCCGCTGAATTCTGGAAGTTTGATCCAGGTTCAATTCCGGACAAACGGATTGGCTGCATGGCTAAGTTTCGTGGTTTTGTCCACATGTATAGGAGTCAGTTCTCCTTAAACAGCCATAACGAACAAGTTTCTTTTAGAAAGTTCTCCACTACCTTATGCAGATACCAATTGCTTGCTCTGACATAATCCACCAACCAACCACAGGTGTCAGCTCCACAATGGCTGCCCTTCCCTCAGACAGACAGTTTTTGTGCGATTTGCCATATTAGAATAACCAACTAAGTGGTTTCATTTGGTCTCTTTTAATATTACTTTTCTACTTCCTAATCTGAAGCTCACTGCAGGCTAGTGAAAATAATCTTTTTCTCTGTCATTTATACATTTTACTGTTCTTAATTTTTATGTTGTATTTGTATTGGTTTAAACCCTGAGTAGCACGGCCGGCATTATTCAAGCAAGATATCTTTTTTTATTATATTTATTAGCTTGCAATTTAATTTTGCTTCTTCACTCTCTTTAATGATGTAAATGTATTATAATGAATTCAAGTTTATAGAGACTAAAATATTTCATTATACAAATTTAGCTTATACATGCTGTTTAATTACGGATCTTCATGAGCAGATTCAAAAAGCCGTATATGCCTTCAAGCAATTTCGAGAAAAAGATACTGGAAACTTCTCGGTGACCTGGCGAAATCTATATAAGAAAAGAGAGAGCATCCGTTCGCAGTTTACCCGATTTGGGCTCACATGACATATCTCCATCACCAAGCATCCATAGAAACCCAAATTCAGTGAGCCAGAAAAGGTCACGTTGGTAACACGATATTCGCGGCATAAATGAACAATGGAACGAACTGTTCTCAATTTAGTGCAGAGTTGATCTCAGAGTACTGAGAATTCTGGCTTTCCAGACTTGTTTCTTGTAAGAAAATAAATTTTACCAAGCTGTCATCCGTTATATGTGCATTCAGTCCATTAAAAACCCGTATGTAAGTAACAATATTCAAAACATTATTTTCTGTCATGTAGTTCGTAAACTGCATGAACGTTTATTTGTTGTACCAAAGTGCAAATGAAGCAAATGATACAGATTCAATACTTTATCTGCCCAACGCTGAACAAAATTTCCACTAATGTTCCAGGGAATAGATAGCTAGAATTTCGACTCACGTGCTGAAATTCTTGTAGCCAGACGGCTAAGAGGGTGTTTTCGTAGCTTCCCTCCATGTGTAAACGTGAATTCGAATTATTTCTCATCAGAAAGTCCAACAAAAGTCATCCTTCTCATTATGCTATTAGGTAGAATGTGCTAAGAGTGTTTTGCTATAATCTAACAAAAACATATTTAGGAAATTCTATTTTACTTGTATACGTTTGTAAACAGAACAGTTCATAGAAACAGTTAAGCGAATGTTTTTGTTTTAATTTTTCATCGAATACTTAAAATCGTAATCATAATATTCCACTGGTGAAATCCCATTCATTTAGATAATTGTTAACCATAATATATCGAAAACGTCATTATCAACTAAATTATACTTCAGTTCACTTACACTACAATTTCAATCATTTACTAAATTAATTTAAGAGCAACTAAGATCACTTCATTCATTCAAAAACCTCACAAACACCAGAGAAGAAATATTCATAAACAATCAAATCAGTTCCTCTAAAGAAAATTCAATCAATTTAAATACAATCCTGGGACCTAAAAAAAGCATTACAATTTAAAGTGCGTTGTGAAACCCATTGACTTAAAAATATCAACAATACTCCGAGTTAAAACTCGAAGTTTCTTAAAAGCCTGCCGGCTCAAACAAATGGAGTGGCTTAACAGACCCAAGTAAAGTAACACAAAATAGCAAACTAAACATATAATAAATCAAACACATTTATTAATTCTCAAGTAAATACAGATAGCTAGAATAACTAATCAGTATTCTACAAAATTAACTTTAAGAGGTAAAATAACACATATGTCAATCCAAAAATTACACTCATATTAACAGTGAGCATACTATATTTTTTAAAACATTCCATAACTCACAACTTAAATGGTTGAACAGATTCTCTAATCATTCGTTTTTACAGATACATTAAAATAACTTGACGTTACTTAAATCTTCTAATAAATTACCATCATTTAATTATTTTTTTCACTTTGTTTACAAGTATATTAATATAACTCATCATTACTTAATTCCTGATCTTAATATAATTTATAATTACTAGTCCAGTTTAAATAGAAAGACAGAAAAAAATCATCACTCACAGATTTTTCCGAAACATTCCGGGAGTGCCCAAATTCGTACTCAAAGAGGAAGTCTATTTCCTTGAGACAACAACGTAAAAAAAAAAAAAAAAAAAAAAAAAAAAAAACAGGTAAACTATCACTCGCGCGTTGAACGTTGAAGTCCATTCTGTACACCAATTGTTGGAAAGAGCTGAAGACCTTTTTTTTACACCTAACTGCCGGAAAGGTGTGAAAATCATTCATCTAACTTCTGTTGCTTGAGATTGTCAACATTTCCTGTGGATAAGTAGATAGTAGTCCGACGCTCGTCTTGCGTATTTCTGTTGACCTACGAGGAAGCGCCAACTAAACCCACACGTATTACAGCCGGATACTTAATCTATCCCCATTCACATTTAGTAAACATTTATTTACATTAGGAACCGCCGCAGCCACCATGAACCAACCCTTCTATCAGGAACGCTTCAATAAGTCAGGATCCGCTTTGAAAAAAAAAATTCTGGAATTCATCCGGGTCAGGAAGAGCTGGATACTCAGGAAGAACACTTGCATCTGGAATACTTCGAGAATGCCTATCACTCTCGGGAAAAGATAATGAAAAGAAGAGGCGAAGCTATGTTTTTGTGTAGAGCTCTTGTCATCGCGCAAACGAAAAATTCTCATTAAGCAAAGGCTAAGAGAAACGTGGCCCCAAACCGCTCTCGCAACTCGCAACAGAATAAACCCTGCAGCCTGGTAAACGTCCCACGAACCTTTTTAAAGAAACTTCACCACTCTAAAACTCGATTCCGTCTCACTTCAACACCCTTACAATTTCCGAAGAAAACTCGGTTTCTCCACCCACTAGAATTTATAAGCCCAAAATTTCCGCATAAAATTAAGTTTAACCAACCGGAGAATTTCTCTTTTTATTTAGCTGAAAACTTCACCCTATCAAACGAATCAGAATAGAGACGTTCTACAAAGAAACGGTTGACCAGCTGCATCCAGAAACTAAACCATCAGAAACTAAAATTCGACCCCTCCAACTAACAAGCGGAAAAACTAGAGATAAGAATCAAATTGCGCCCCTAAGAATGAAACGACAGAATGCTCTCGTCCGGAAGAAACTGGTGTATTCAACCTCTTGCAGTATTCATAAAAGAAAAAGTACAGCATGACGCCAGCAAGACATGCGAAACAACACTACTATACTGCCTTCTGTTCTTCTGTTATCGTGAAAGCTATTCTCACAGATGCCATTTCTTTCCAAAAAATGCTCCCTATTTTGGTCAGAAAATCGAACCGTTGAAAATATAACTATATTTTAACACCTACTAATATATATTCCACTACGCTTTTTAAAATTTCAAATTTAAATCAAATACAAATAAAAATACTTAAATAACAAGAACAGAAATGAAAATTCACGACACAACAAAACTATACCTGTTCTGACGTGACAGGCACTTTCTTCAGCTTAGCCAAGGCGCACATGGTTTCCGCGTCGTTTCGAAGGTCACTTTGGCAGCCGCAAAGAATGATGGGTATGTTCTGACTATGTTGACGGATTTCGGGATACCACTGTAAAATACAGGTAGTAACTAGAATTTAAGTCTTTTATATAATACTTGAATTCAAATAAAAAAGTAAAACTAAGCAAATTATTTTTTTCTTGATTAATTTTCAAGATTTCGTCACTGTAAGAATAATAATCAGGTTTGATTATTTATCTGAATTATCTGGAAGGTTTATTAATCTGCATAAAATTCTTAATTTTGAAATGGAAATAATATTAGCATTTTTTTAAATATAGGCAGGAATATAATGTCAAAAATAAATTGCTCGCATTAATAAAATACTTTTGCTTATCAAATTTTGCTGAGAACTAATATTTTTTAAACACATAGGCCACAATCTGTATCTTTACTTCGAATTTAGTCCAGCTGCGACAGGAATTCGAGAAACCTTTAACCATCTAAAAACATGCACTACTTTACTATTCTTTTTTATTCACCTAAGTCAAGCCCTCCGTAATACTGCATTCCCATTGATGTTACATATAATATATTTAACAATATGGTATAGCACATGACATGAATTAGATCATCATTCTAAAAACGCAATTCATAGCTTTATTGAATTATTGTTCTTTCAAGTAAATTTGCTATTGGCGCTTAGCCAATGGAAAAACTAACTGATTATTATATTGCTTACCCAAGTAATACTGCACTGATTACTACCTGAAGTAAGTGCCCGAAGAAGGTATTTTTGTGCTACGGATAGACAGAATCTCCTCTTAGTACAAAAATACAAAGGTCTTTTATGTAATGTTAGAACAAGTAAAAAGGTTAAGTACTTATTGCATGTTTGGCAGTCCATTAAGCACAGGGCCTCGGGAGGTTCTTATCTTACTCTTTCTTTTATTTTCTGAAATGACAAGCTCTTGTACGGCTGGAAATACAGTATTTCTTCTCTTACCAAACTATAATATCAATACCTACTTCCAGAAATAAGTTAAATTCTTTCAGGCCAGTTCCTACCTATATTTTATTCAGATGCATTTCATTGACGGATAATTGCACCTGAGGGGAATTATGAGATATTTCGTATTATCAGTTGAAATGTCAAATAGCAAAGGACTTCTGTATTTTTCAACATCGCAGATAACTTAGATGTATAACCTTCCTTGTAAAAAGGAAAGAATACAGAAGAAATATCATTCACTACTGAAAGAATACCCCATCCGGCAAGACATCCCAGTACGCCGCTCAACAGCTTTTTTTCGTTTTTGCACACATAAAATAACTAAGACATTAACTTCGTTGTTGCAAATAACTGCTGTAATCTATATTTTAGTCAAGTAATCATTAGAAAACTGACCACAACACTGTATCATCGAAAATGCAAGGGGTACACATATATAACTTGCTCGTTCTGGCAAATCTTCTCAAGCTCCAACGCTAAAGAAATACTGCCCCTGAAAATGCGTCATGTTCATAAAAAGCTGCTGTGGAATAGTAACACCTATATACTCCACGGTAAAGCACTGATATCTTTATATGTTCTCAATTATCATTTTCTCTGTTTTCAGCTTCCCGTAACTTCCAATTTGAATTTTAAAGATGTCATCGCGAAACGATGTTTTTGTCTGTAGAGGCCCATCTACATGAGGAGAGAAAATTTCTCACTGACTCAGTCTCCCTCACAGACATGTAGGCTGACAGCATTTCGCCTACACAGTTCGATGCTGCTCTGAGCTCTAGCCATTCAGGTTTCTATATTAAAAGACCCTTCGTTAATAATTTAAAGCAGAGATAAATCATAATTTCTTATTTAAATGCTATAGCTGCCTTAAATTTAGAAAATTAGATTACAGAAGTACCCCTATGTCCGCGAATAATTCGTTTCAGAGCATAACACGGATGTGTGAAACGACTGATAACAGCAAACGCTGTGTAGAATAAGAAATCCATAGAAAACGTATTCATTCCGGCGAAGTTTCATTGATAAATCTGACACCTAGGAAATTACTATATAATAATAATAAAATATACTGACACTATATCACGTCATACATTATATTTTTAATACAACAGTATAAAATTTACTTTACAAAGGTTTTCTTTGCACATTATTGGAAATGCCACTTTCCCTTAAGCTTAGAAGCACTAGTAACAACACTGCTTTTATGTTTGAAAACAATTATAACGCAATTAAAAAATATGAAAATGAGAGCTGCGACTAAATGTCGCTAATGAGAAAAAAAGAGAGATTGTTAGAACCGGAAGTAAGAGAACTTTAGCCGGAAAATCTGCGTACTTGAAGAAGGGCAAGGACGAGTATATTTTGACCACAGATAGCCGTAATCTCTTATTTACACTTGTATTGCCTTCATGGAGGGAAAATAAATTAAGATTGTAAGGTGTATCTTAATTTTAGACCAGTTATTTAAGCTAAAACTCTTTCCTTGTCTCTTTTAGCTTTTTACTTACAATTCCTTACCAGAATGAGTTTTTAGAATCGTGTTAATGCAAATGAGTAGTAGAGAGTATTTAAGTCGAAGTTCTGACTTCGACAGAGAGAGCTAGATTTCCTGAATAGCGCCCGTTCTTGCCTTTTGGCTACATCTCTCTAAGCTGTTACTACTCTCGGCCGTATTACGTTGCCTTGATAGCTTCGCTAGCTAATTTAATATTACGGCCCAACTAGTTTTAGAACTGTGTTAGCTTCGGCTAAATTTCTTTAATTAGTCATTAGTTAGTTTTTATTTCTCATATTTTTCAGTTTAAGCTCAAGTGGAGGCTTTAATGTACTTCCTGAGAAGGGTATTTATTATCCAATAATCTTTTAAATAAAAATCAATTTGGTTTTATGCCGAGTAAAAGTACTACCCAGGCTATAGATTTCTGACATCCTTCGAAATAGAAGAAATGATAAACATACTGCGATTTATCCTTAGATGTAAAGAGCGCTTAATAAATTAAAAGAGCAATTTATCCTTAGATGTAAGAGTCCATTAATCTATTATGATCAGACTAAATCTATTATGCTTTTATTAACCTTTTTTATTACTATCTGACTGGCGTATACTTGATGCAAGGCATTCATTAGGAGAGGCCTAATCAATTGGTCTTTTATACATTTCATAGCCCAAAACGTGCTCAGAATACACGATATGAGATAGACCAATGCTATATCTTTGCAAAGGAAAAGAAGAACAAGCGCATACATATAAACAATCTTCATATGGAGACTTATCTACATTCTTGTTCCGGGCAAGCAGCCAGCGTCTGCTAACCGCACTGTCCAAGGCCATTGCATTTATTATTTCATAATAAAATTAAAAAAAAAAAAAAATCTGAAATGTTTCAGATTTTAAATTACGTCCAAAGGGGCGTTTTTTAACATTTTGTGTGTTACCTTTCTTTATTAAATATCATGTTCCTCACACTTAAACCATAAGATCCAGTGCAACAGCAATATCGCAAAATAGTTTTAAAACGAGCATATCTTTAGAATTTCCGATACAGAGACTCACGCGCTGGAGATAAAAATGTTTAATTTCATGCACAACGTTGCCATTGCTCGCTTTGAAATCCTTGAGTTTGTTAATCAAAAATTCGTCAAAGTTTTAAAAAATAGGAAATCGATCATAAAACAAATTTCAAATTTCAAATTTGGTCTTCCACATGCTCATATTCGTTGGAGGATTACGTTATTCAAAATTCGATGACTCTATGTACCGTTGTTTTATCACAATACGAGAAATATACATACATTTATGCAGATTTTTCATTATTTAATTTCTTCAAATATAATGCAGGACTCTAACATTTTGTGGCAACAGTTTGAAAAGTGAACCGACATTTATGAGTCCGACGCAAAATGCCAAAACGAAACTAATAGTCCTTCGGGATTCAAATCCCTTTGGACTAAAAAAACTGTTGGTTTCAGTGATTCATACAGACCTTATTTATTGTGTTATCCAATGTGTCGGGGCCACCAATTGTAAAGCAAAGGAGGAAGACGCTGGCATCTTTGTAAGCAAGTGGTCTAACTGTGTCGTACGCAGAAGTACCTAAAATGAGAAGACAAAATATATAATTTGATGAAAATGTTGAAAAAAACATGCACTTTGTTATTTAGATAAATAATCTTGCTAACTGTTCAGCGATTTAATTAAATCCACCCTACTTGATATATTGCTTTATGAGTTTCTCACAGAGAATAATAAAACTACATTTAAAAGCAAATGGATAAGTAGACACAAGGACAGAATAATTCAAAAAGATTACATGGTTAAATAACCCCTAAATATTTGCTGGTAGACCCGAATTAAATTTAAAAACGCCGCACAAGGTTTCAAGATTTAGTTCATTTTGGTCATGTACTTCACATACATTTTACCAAAAATACATGAAGCTTAAATTTACGGATGTACCCTCCAAAGGCAGACTTCCAATGAGTAACCTGTTTATGATCTTACTGCAGATATTTGAGGAAGGGAAGAGAAGTTTCTGTAATAAACGAAACTTTTTTTTTCGTAAGCGGCTGGGAATGCCGAATTCATCGATCCTAGGCAATTTCTCCCCAAGACTATTGCCTAAGGCTTACCACTGGGAGTAGACCGACATTGCACTCTAAAAAGGAGGAAAGTCGAAATATACACACAGCCAATGTTTTCACGATAATCGAATAAATATAATTCGTTTTCGGCTAGCATTCAGTCTCCTCTAACCACTATGCCGTACAGGACAACGTGACACGGGAAGTACTGCCCCTGTAAAAATGAAAACCTATAAATATGACAAAGTAAAGAAAGAAACCCTAAACGGCACATTCAGAAAATGCTAAAGAAAAATTATAATCCCCACAAGCGTTCCCTATGGGAATCATTAGTGCTGTGCCGTAGAAAAAGTAACCTTTCACCTTCCGATCATAAAGCATAGCGATTTGCCATTGATTACCGTAAACTTAACACATTACTAATGGACGTTACAGCCCAGCGTGGTGAAAAAATGTATTAGTGATAATAATTATTAGTTAGTTTTATTATTAAGACTTGCTGCGGTAAATTACGAGGAACTGGAGTTCTGAAACCCCCCCACCCCCAGGGAGGGTAGCAGTTGTGACGTTCAGATATATGCACACCTCGGACTTCCAGGTGCTTAATGAGAACTATCTGTTTGTCAGCGACAGAATGGACAGTAGACCTATGGAAGAAAGGTGCAGCGGAAAACCCCTTGGTGTGGTTTCCAGACATAAAGGACTAATTATTTTCTTTCCAGGTTTTAACAAAACGAGGAGAGAGCTTTGTGTAAAAAGATTTTGATGCTGTAAACGAGAGAAAGCAGACGCATCCTAGCGTCATTCTTTTGTAGCGTCCTTGCTCAACATGACTCCGGATTCCTGTCTTGTGGTGGGGTGAATTGCGCGGGAAAAAGGGGCTGATGCTTTTTCAGGGTGAAAGTGGCGGAGGAGGCATGACGTGTGAATTTGGTTTGAATTACTGAGGGAAATAGTGAAAATTTTTGTACTGTTTTATTCCTGGCGTTAAAGCGGGGTGATTCTCCCCGATTTTTGTAGGAATGTTGTGTCGGTACGGATTAAAAACGGAATGAAGCTCTTTAAGAACTCTCTTGCCTCTTAATTACATTGTTTATCATTTGGCAACTACTACTCGGCAGTTTCGGTAATTATGGACTTTATCACTTAGTTTCCTCCTCGACATTTTATTTAGATGTACCTGCTCCTTATGACTTGCAGCTTTTGCAGACTCTGTTAGACTTAACTAAAGTTAATTTCAAGTGCTGCTCCCGGTGTGGTTTTTCGTGAAGAAACGCCCATATAGGTTACGTAATGCTCATCATGAGGTTGTAGTCTAGTTCCTGCCAGTATTAAACATGAAGCATTGCGGCCGATCTTCTCCTCCAATTTTGCTACCAAATCAAATGCAGTGGTGCGGGCTCCGATTTTTCTGATCTTTATTTAGCCTCATTTGCTCCGGGAAGAAAGGAATTACTCATGGATACCGGCGCAGAATTCAGCGATTCCTGAGATAGCCTTCAAGGCTCCTCCGGCTCTTATCTTCCGAGATCCTCGTGTTCGTTGTTCCTGTCCCGTTCGTCGGCTTATTACTTTCTTGTACGAAGTAAAACGGAAATATTGTAATCGCGAAAAATTTCAGGCATCATATTTCAACGCAAATAACCATTTTCACCGCTATGGAATGCAATTTAACGATGTTTTTGCGTGACATCTGCACGCAAGGACAGAATAAAGTACTCTTTTCCCCCCAAAAAAATTGTAAAACTAATTTAAAAGGAATTCGAAAGAGAATTTTTCGTGGCGTCTGTGTGTACGTAAGTATCTCGCATAACTCAAAAACTAGTAGCCTCAGAACGCTGAAATTCTGTATATAAGACTGCTATAAACATGTAGATGTGCACCTCGTATTTTGGTTGCTATCGGCCGCACCAAAAGTATATAATATGTGTATATATATAAATCCGCTCTACTATTCGGCTCATTGATCTCAGATTCTTTATTCGTATATGTTTGTAAATTGCGCATTTTTTGCTTTAAAATAATGATTAAATTATGTTGTTCTTATCTTCCGGTTAAGGTTTTTATGAGTAAATCTGTATGCAGTATTTTTAGAATTATCAACAAATTTAAAAGTTGTTTAAGTGCCGCTAAGCCTAAAATTTTTTGCCATGCGGGCCATTGCTTGTTTACATTTGAAACACAGCAGAATAGTAGATTTGTTGCCAATCTAGTGAAAGTAAGCTTCGCAACAACAAAGATAACGCCTTCTTTTATTATTGCCAATTAAATCATGCTTAATCCATTCTGGAATTTATTCGAGGAAATAAGTGTTTAAGATAGTGTACGTTTAAGACACGTGGTAACGATTAGATAATTTCTAAGATGATATAATGTTTTTGCATTCTGAGATAAAAAAATGAATGAAATGTAACGCGGTTAAGTGAACCTAAGGCCAGAGTGTCGCCATGGTAAACAAATATAGTAAATTTTAAAGAGTGCATTTATCCTAGTATGCTTTATGCGCTATCGACGAAGTAGATTTAATTCACTCGAATAAGTTTAAATGAAATGCGTATAATTTAATAAGACAAAATGCGTATAATTTAATAAGACAAAATGCGTATAATTTAATATTCCGTACAAGGAAGTCATGTGGTGCACACATCAGATTTTTTCATTTTGTGATATCAGAACTTGGATTTAAGTTTTCCTCTGTTTCTCTTCAGAAGTAAGTTTCCTGATTTCTACTGGATGCCTAGTGGAAGTGGATTGGCAGCGGTCTCTCGAACCCAAGGACTATACACATATGTCATAATATTGGATTTTCCTCAAATAATGTACTTATGAACTCCTTGTAAGTTCAGAAGTTTAAGCATACTTAGTTCAAATGTTGGTTGTTTTAAAACAGGTCTAAGCAGATAACTCGGTAATAGATTACTAGCTTAATTGAAAGAGAAATATATTGAATAATTTAAAAATTTGAAGGAAATCACTTACTTAAAGTTTTAAGAAAAAGTTCTTAAAATAAAGCCAGGATTAATTTCTGATTCGGTGCTTGCATCACAGTAAATGCGAAATGTCATAAGTCAAGAAAGGACTTTATTTTTTTGGTTTGAGATTAACTTAATCCGTGCAACATTTTTATTTGTTTTTTGAGGAAATAAGAAAGGAAAAGTGTTGTTAGTCGTATGAAAGCAGATTTAGTGAATAGTTAACTCTTAACGTAGTTTTAAAATTAAGAACTCATGTCATTTTTTAATTATATAAAGGTGATTTTCCCCGCCTTCTTAGCATGCTTTCATGGTATAATAGTCAGTAAACTCGGCGCGTATTCGAGAGTTCCGTGGTTCGAGTCCCGGCAAAGGCATTGCTCATTTTCATGACTCCTGCTTCGAAATAGCCTGATGTATGTACAGTGGCCCCCGAATTAAAAAAAAAAAAAAAAAAAAAGTAGTGGATTATGACTCTCTGCCACCAGGATTTGGCGATTGGGTCCCCTAATTCCCAGTCGCCCTTTAAAAGGGGGAGTATATAAGGTATTTCTTCCGCCTTCTTAGCATGCCTTCGTGGTGTAATGGCTCACCAGCGGCTGAGCGGTAAAGACGCTGAACACTGGTAGTTCGGTCCGAGGTTCGAATCCCGCGAACGGGCTGGCTGCATGGGCGTTTTAGTGGTTTTCCCCATGCATAACGTATATACGAGCCAGTTCCCTTAGAAAGTCCTCCACGAAGGCATCCCTCCCTTTACGCAGATAGCCCTCGTTTGCTTTGCCATAATTAAATAATCCAATTCAATCCAATCGTGGTGTAATGGTCAGCACATTTTGTGCGTATTCGAGAGGTTACATTGTTGAGAGGTTCGTGGTTCAAGTCCCGGCGAGGGCATTGCTCATTTTTCATGACTCCTATTCCGAAATAATGTGATTTAATAATGTAATCATCTACAGTTTTGCTTCCATACCTCTTGCAATCATAGTGATTGTTCTTTTTTTTTTTTTTTTTAAACACAACGCAATTAGGATTCTATAAGATTTTCAGGATACCGGTTTTATTGAAGTGAGATGACTTCTAAGTAAGAGATAAGGTTAAATCCTCTGAGCGATTCTTTACAGGTTATACCTACTAGAACCCTTGTCTCGTGACAAATATTTCAGAGTACCTTCACGTTTTCTCCTTAAGGATTTTATTGTTTTGGCAACATCAAAACTTCAACTACACAACGATGTTGCCGTAAATACGGTATATAACATTTCGAAATGGGTAGAGATAGTTCTCCTCTAAAGATCCTCTGCAAAATTTGTTTGTGATTCCTTTTTAAATAATATATATTAAAATATGGGGGCTTCACTAAAAATAAACTGAGTAATATGAAGGAATTTGTGAGTCAAATTTTTTAAAACTTATGTGCAGGGCTTGATATACGGCATTTAAAGATGGTTTCGTATCGTCAGCAAACTAATCTAACTGTGCGAGTAAATAAAAATATAGTTAATATTATTCGAAGTTAAAGAAAATTTACTATAGTCACTGG